CAGTCGAAGTCAAATTTCGAGGACCTTCCAGAATAACTGATCTCTTATTCTCCAGTGGAGAAAACTTTCTTTCCCTAGTGTAGAAAGTGTCTTGTCTCCCCAATGTGGTGTACATGAGAATTCCAGTCATAACTCTTTCATCCCCGGTGATAGAAGATTTTGTTGAGATATTCCCAGTGGAGTTGTTGTCCCAGGATGTTTATTTCTTCCCCAAGTGAAGACTTTTTACCCCCGGCGATGTTATCCCCAGTGTGGTCTTAGTAAAATTATTTTTATTTAAAAATTTCCATACTCCCCAGTAGAATCTATCTTCGTCAAGAAATTTTATGCGGGAAAGTTTCCATCCCCAGCGAAGCTCTCCTCTTTCTAACAGAGGATAAAGAATTTGTTCCCCAGGAAGTTGGGAGTTTAACCATAATTCAAGGTTTTCTTTGAACTGTAATTTATTTTTGCAGTATTTCTCTTTGGGAAGTTAATTCCCTAGTGATATCGATCTTTAGATGTTAGTGGTTCCAAGTCTCGGTGCCCCATTGAAGTTCAGATTGCCTTTTCTCTACAGAAGATCAGATGTGCTAGCATAATTGTTCGGAAGTTCATTGTCTTCTCAACAACTGATTATTGACGTGTTTTCATTAGCACATTACTAAACATGCATCATTACATTGCATCTACCCAAACGTGTAGCATTTCTATTGTATGGAGAATTACTCTATAAAAAATAATTCAAACATGCATGAGTATAAGCCAGTTGTGTTTACTTGTAGTAGCCAGATTGTTATGCGCTCATATTTGATTTATCTCCATAGTAAGCCTAGGGTGATACTGTTATGTTTCCCCAACGAGTCTGTTTTGATTCACCACCAGTCGAGTCTTTGGTATTTCCTATTTTCCAAATAAGTCATGTTTTTCTCCTGCCCTTGCAGGCCCTTGGTTATTTTACCTGTGTTTTCTTTATCGTTAGAGTGCGAGTAAGAGTCCGTGTATAGCCTTTCTTGATTCTCAAGTATTTGAGTATCCATACTTAGTGTGTGGTAATTCAGATAATTTCCACTCTTGAATAATTACACCATGCCTTTGGCCTGAGGGATTTTGTAGTTCTTGTGTATTTGCAAACTCTTAAAGCCCAACGCGTGTTGGAAATCCTTGTTTAGAGTCCCTACAGTTGGTCTCTTTTTCTTATCAGTCCGCCTTCGACCGACGTTCTGTTTGGGTTCAATACATATGGGAATCCCCAGTAAGTTTGTGGTTTGCGCTTGCCCTTGCAAGCCCTTGGTTATTTTACCCGTTTTGCTTTGCCATTAGAATGTGAGTAAGAGTCGATGTATAGATTTTCTTGCTTCTCGAGTATTTGAGTATCCATACTTGGTGTGTGGTAATTCAGATAATTACCACTCTTGAGAATTACACCCCGCCTTTGGCCTGAGGGATTTTGTAGTTCTTGCGTATTTGCAACCTATCGAAAGCCCAACGTGTTTTGGCAATCCTTGTTAGAGTCTGTTTTGACCGGTCTCTTTCTCTTGTAGGGTTCACCTTTGATTGGTGTTCTCTGAAGGTCCTGCTTAGTCGTTTCCTTGTTTTGGTTTATCCGCGTTTGTCGGGTCCTCTTTTCGTTAGCTTAGCTAACCTTTTCTGTTAAGAGTCCTTCATTGTCTCTTCAAAGTCCAGTTGTATGGCGTCCTTGTTTAGGCGAATGTGTCCTTTCTTGTTGGGGCTTTCTTCAGTTAGTCTCTTTCTTGTGTTCGCCATCAACTCCGGACATTTGTTTCTTGATGCTCGATTTCTCTCTTGTGCATCTAACTCTGACAAGATATGCAAATCTTTATCCCTTGTGAGTTCGCCTTTGATTGACGTTCTTTTCTTAAATCCACCTTCGGCTGGTACCTTTTGATGAGAGTCCCCTTCGGCCAGTCTCTTTTCATTTGCAAGTTCGCCTTTGATCGGTGTTCTTTCCTTAGGAATCTACCTTCGGCATAATATTCCTTGTTAAAGATTCCCCTTCGGCTGGTATTAGTTGTTGAGAGTCCCCTTCGGCCGGTCTCTTTTCATTTGCAAGTTCTCCTTTGATCGGCGTTCTTTTTGTAGGAATCTACCTTCGGCATAGTATTCCTTGATGAAGATTCCCCTTCGGCTGGTTTCTTTATCTTGAAGTCCACCTTTGGATGGCACTCGTTAAATCCACCTTCGGTTGGTACCTTTTGTTAAGAGTCCCCTTTGACTGGTATCTTTTCATTGTAAGTTGGCCTTTGATCGACGTTCTTTTCTTAGGAATTTACCTTCGGTATAGTATTCCTTGATGAAGATTCCCCATCGGCGGGTTTCTTTATCTTGAAGTCCACCTTTGGATGGCACCTGTTAAATCCACCTTCGGCTGGTACCTTTTGTTAAGAGTCCCCTTCGGCTGGTCTCTTTTCATTGTAAGTTCGCCTTTGATTGGCGTTCTTTCCCTAGGAATCTACCTTCGGCATAGTATTCCTTGTTAAAGATTCCTCTTCGGTTGGTTTCTTTATCTTGAAGTCCAACTTCGGCTGGCACCCGTTAAATCCACCTTCGGCTGGTACCTTTTGTTAAGAGTCCCCTTCGGATGGTCTCTTTTCCTTGTAAGCTTTCCCTTGATCGGCATTCTTCCCTCTTTAAATCCACCTTAAGTTGGCATCATTTGGTAGGAGTCGACTTCGGCTGGCATCATTTGTTAGGAGTCCCCTTCGGCTGGTCTCTTTTCTTTGTAAGTTCGCCTTTGTTCAGCGTTCTATTCAAGTCAATGTCTATTTGTGTCCCCAGTAAGTTCGCCTTCGATTGGCATTCCTTCGTTAGATCCTTCTTCGGTCGGTCTCTTTCTTGTGTATGTCTAATCTTGACCTGACATCCAAGGATTTACCCAGGTAACTAATACAATCAAAAAAGCAAAAAAATACAGAAATCCAAGAATATAATAATACCTGACTGGCTTCAGAGTGAAAATTTTAGGGTTCTTTTAGTATTTAATCTTCTTCCACCTTGAAAGTTCGAAAGGCAAGCGCCAATCTCACCTTCAGGTTTAAGACGATTAAATAAGGGCAGCTGTTGCACCCCAAAATTTGCCCTCCTAATTTCTCTTTATTTGGCTTAGACTTTTTCATTCAACTGCATATATTCCATTAGGTCACTAACATGGCATACATTTCATTCAATAGAATACCCTGAGGTTTAAAAGTTCAGTGATCATGTTTTCTATATACTTCAAGCCTTATCTTCTACAAGATTCATCAGGGGCATGGACTTCGATGAGACAAGATAATTTCGAATTTGAAGTTAGAGGCTCTAGTTAATTTGAATTTGTCATTGAGGTTTAGAATTGAAGACTTGTCAAGATAATCCAAGTTTCTTAAAGTACAAGTAATTCATTTATGGTTTATTTCTAAATCAAGGACTAAATCACAAATTCCAATTCAAATTTTCAAGGCATGTGCATTCAAGGTCCATTAAAGTGTTTATTTTGATTCAAGTTTGGTAAATGGTTACACATTCTAAGGATGGAAGATTTGTTCATGATTACGAGAAATTTCAAGGCATAGCTCGAGTCTCATTCAAAATTGCAAGGCGAGTGTCCAAGTTCGAAACAAGACAAATTCATATTTCAAGTTACTTTAGGAAGCATGTGGATTAGGGTTGTGAGTTGTCAAGGTTTATGTTCTATCATGGTGGAGTTTTGTTAATATTCAACTGAAGATCATTGGATTTTCAAGTCAAGGCTATCTTCCATATTCCCATATTCATTCTCCAAATTTCCTCAAGGCTTTGTTGTTGTGTTAAGACCATTGTTAAACCATGATACAAGGTGTTGAGTTTGAAGGTCTATTGTGCTCAAGGCGTCATTATTTCAAATGCTTGTTGCTTGACACACAAGTTTGGTTTAGATTGAGGAATTGAATTGAATTAGGGATTCATTGAAGTTGTAATTTGATTGGAATTCGTTCATTAAGATTTGAAGAGGATTTGGAGTGAATAAAAGTTCTTAAATATTTGTGTGAGATTTCTTAGAATTCAAGTTACAAGTATAAAACGACATGTATCAAATTCACTTGTTTCATCCAACAATCAAAGTGTCGTCCAAATAGTCATTCAAGAACTCATTAAAGATTCAAGTCTCTTCTTGATTACCTTGAAAATATTTTGGATTCGTGCCATGATTATTTGAATTCATACAAAGGTGTTTAAAGTAAATATTAGAGGAAAGGAATTTGGAAGTTCGAAATCAATTTGAAAGTTCAAGATTACAAATGAATTACATCATCCAATTTTCAAGTTACAATTCATTGAAGCTTCCATTTATCCAAGTTTCTAATACATTACAAAATGCGCAAAGAACATCACAAATAAAGGGCTTCACATCAAAAGTCATAAAAAAATAATAAATAATAATAATCCTAAATCTAGTTCTTCAATCATCTTCATGCCTTCAAACTCCGTGATACCCAAACTTGACATAATTATCCCCAAACTAGAAGAGTAACAACCAGGTGTGGCATCATGTTCCAAATCACACCATACAGTACTTGCACATACATATAACAGTCCATGTTGCTCCCAAAACTGTTACCATAACCAGCCCTGCATTCAAGATTCACCAACAATTGAGACCATATCAGAGAGTTGCTTAGGTTGCAGGCCTAAAACAAGAAGAAAACTAATAGAAATGCTACTAACCTGCAAGCAAAATTTCTAAAAACATTCAGAACCAGATTAGTACATATGCAGTTTCAAGAAACTTTAAACATTCAAGGTACAAAATGGAGGACTTCACTCAAAATCCTATGAAAAACAACAAAAATAATGCGGACTTGAGCTATCCAGGAACTGATCCATATAGCATACATATGAAACTCGTCGCAACCCTCAAGTTCTAGACTTGCAAAAGAAGATTTATGTCGATTCAGTATATTTCAAATGTGTCGTGCTCATTAGATGAAAATTATTGACGGAGACAGCAAAAAATAACAGAGTTTTACTTCTTGAACCAACTGCAACCCCTGAAGCAAACACCATCTCGACAACTTTTGTACCACCATCATTTGAGTCCAATAATTTCGATCAGTCTTTTGGAGATCCTTTTGGAGATTCACCATTCAAGGCCGATACTTCTGCTGAAACTATTCCATCTCAACAATGTAACTAACCGAAAAATCAGAGTTAAATCAAAAATTCCAGTTCAACAATACAGGGAAGAAATATTAGAAAGAGGAAATTGTGATAACAAAAAAGGAGAAGAAAGTTTTGCATCAGGAATAGAGAAGGAATTATTAAATCATAAAATATTCAGAAATAGAATTTGAAAGCTCAGTATCTGATCTAATCCTAGCCATCTATTTCGGTAACAAACTTTTGAAAGCAATGGCTCAGATTCAAACAGCCCTAACTAACTATTTCCAGGATAATAGAATATAATAACAGAAAGTTACCTGAGATATTAATTCTTCAATCTCTGAAGAATCAACCAGAAAAATCCCTCTTCCCTATACTTTCTTCTTCAACAACAGTCCTTGACTTATGAAAATGCTCTCTCCCTCGTTCATCCATCATCACCTTAAACTCTCACCTTTTCATTCTTCCATTCAGCAAAAAAAAAAACATAACTGTAAGAAATTCTCACCTCATCGTCTCTCTACTTCTGCAACTGAAGTCCTCTCTACCCTCTGCCTCAATCGTGTTCTACTTCATCTTCAACCTCCTTCAAGCAACAACGTCGACATCGTGAACTGCACCTTCAACGTTATCGCAACCTACTTGCAGCGATTCATCGATCTTTCTCCCTGAACCTGCAACATCAACGTGCCTTCAATCTTCAATCCTCTCCACAATATGCAGTAAAACTTCTTCGATCTACATCACAGAAAATAACGTCAACGACTTATGAATTGCTACAACGGCGTCGTAAAGCGGAATGGAATCGTGAAGGGCTATGAATCATAGAAGGCTGAGGAAGCGACTGGAAGCGGAATCAAAAGTAGAAAACAAGAAGGAGGAAGAAGAAGAGTTCCAATACGTGATTCGAGAGAGGAGGCAATTGACCTGGATTTAGCAATAAGATTCGCCAGATTTCTTGGGTATTCTTCACTATGAGGAGTCACCGGACACGTTTGGAACTCGTTTCCCATCGTCGGAGCTCTTCAATGAGGGAATAATATGGCGGCATAATCGCGAAGGTTGATCTCTTGAAGTGGGAGCTGAAGTGAAATAGGGGAGGTATCGAGATCGAAGTCGAACGAATCAGACGACATAGTTATGATGACGAGTATGCAATTGGAGGAGACGTTGGTGCTACGCGCGGTACCTTTGTGAAGAAGAGGATAAGCTGAATTGGCGTATGTAGGACAGAGAGAGAAAGTCGGAGGCCAACGATGAGAAGAGATGGTGAATTGGAGATGTTCGATGCCGGATTTGGTTTGAGATCGGAGTAGACTCGAGCCATGGGATTTCAACAAATCTCTATGTTGACCTAAAATTCCAGAACACGCTCACCATTCCCTTTGTTAATTTCTCCATATTTATTTGTTAATTCTTGCTAATGTTTTTTTATCAGATAAATAATGCTGAATATAATATGGATGAGATTTGGATTGAGACTGTAGGGATCATGGACCGAACCTTAACTATTCCCAGGCCCATCATCAAATATTTTTGTATGTTTGTGAACAAAAAAAGGTATTGGACCATTTCTGGTTGGGCTCAATGCATCATTATGACTGCTTATAGTATACCCCCTGCTTACAAATTGCACCCCCTGTTTTTTATTATTTGCATTTTTATTTGGATAATTTTGTTAATTGTTTAGACTTGTGTGAATTTTTTTCACATGATGAAAATAATAAAATCAAATATAAAAATTGGATAGATTTTTTTATATTTTGATTTTAGGAATTAAATCTCGATTATCCGATTACTTGAGATTGGTAATTCACCTTTGCTTGTTGAGACTTGAGTCTTATGCAGGTTTATCGTGCGATATGAGGATGTGCTTGAGTTTCTGATTGTGATTTATTTTCACATCAATGATGATTCAACCCTTATTTCGATTACTCAATTTCGGACTCTTCTTTATTTCCTGGTGAAGCTCAATCAGAGTTTTTCGGGTTTCTCTGCTTTGCTTTCCATGCTACGAAATTTAGTTTGTTTGGTATTTTCTCATGGTTATCTCATTTCGCACTTTATCGCTTTTTAGATATCATGAGAATTAGGGAATAAAGAGTGTGCGCTGGAAGTCGCTGTTTAAAGACCTTTAGCAGGCATTTCGCACTTCATTTGCTATACGTGTTGTGCTTGTGTTTTTTTCCTTGGTTGTTGATCGATGAGTCACTCAATTAGGAATTGAGATCACGACTTTTCTCTCAGTGCATGCTCCCTATAGGATTTTATCGCTTTCCTTTATTTCTTGTTGATCGATTAGTCACTCAATTTAGAAATTGAGATCACGACTTCGCTCTCATTGCATGTTCCCTATAGGATAGTTTTGTTAGACTTTCTTTGGCATGCTAACCTATATAGGATCTCTCTAGGTATGCTCTCTGAGCTTATTGACTTGTTTGTTTGATTTCATCTTTGTGTGCATGTTTTGAGATGATTTACCCTCAGCATGTTCCCTTAGGAGCTATCGATTCAGCTATAGATGATGATTCAAGATTGACATAGTTTTAGGTGATAGACCATTGCTATGCTCCTTTAGGACTTCTTGATTCATCTATAGATGGTGAGTTAAGATAGACATTAGGATTTTTATCCAAGCATGTCAACTTAGGGTAGATATTTCTCTTCAAAACTCAACCATAGGACCACCATTGTATGATAACATTAGGGATTCGATTTAGGCTAGTTTCCCTTAGAGATTTTTCTTTTCTTTTGCATTTGCATTTAAAACAAAAAATCTTTTCTTAGCAAAAAAAAAAGCATAAAACATCTAACAACTTCTAAATCCTTCTTTAAGGTAAAAGCTATCAACCAATGCAAACTCTTTTGCACCTTCGGTCTTTTCTTTCAAACTTTTTTCAAAAAGAACATGTTAATTCACTTTTGTGCTGATGTGTGAGTCTCCAAAGGTCGAGCTGCGGCAGAAGGAAAAATTAATGTTGTTCATTAAAAAATACAAACCATCAAAAACTTTTGAAGCCGAACTACAACTACTCTGATTCCTTAAAAGGGATACGTAGGCAGTAGGGTAGGGCCCGAGCGAGCACAACTTTTATTTTCCCTACATTATTTTCTCATTTCTTTTGCATGCATTCCCTGTACAGTTTAGATAAAATTCTTACACACCCTTTGATTAGAACAACAAGAGTGGATACCATAGGGTACTACAAGCGTGTGGGGTGCTAATACCTTCCCCTTGCATAACAGACTCCCTTACCTGTATCTCTTGGTCGTTCGACCTTGATTTCACCCTTATCAGGTTTACTCGATGGTTACCTTTCCCTTCATGTGGGATAAAAAATGTCCGATGGCGACTTCATTGATTTTATTATCAGTTGATTGTTCAGCCAGTTGTTTCACTTGGCACTGAGTCTCATGTACCTTGCCCTCAATTTCAACATACGGGAAGGTACTCAGATGGCTGATAATATAGTCCTCTTCATCAAAAATGGTGACTACCTTCCCATTAGTTAGGAATTTCAACTTCTGATGCAAAGTAGAAGTCACAACACCGGCCCCATGGATCCACGGGTGCCCTAACAAGAAGTAGTATGAAGGATTGATATCCATGATAAAGAATGTCGCATTGAAGATATGAGGACCTGTCTTTATAGGCAAATCAAATTCACCAAATACAATTCTTTTCAACCCGTCAAATGCCTTAACCTCCAATTGGCCTCAGCATAATCCCTTCGTAATCCATTTTCATGAGAGAAGACTTTGGTAGAACATTGAGGGATGATCTCGTGTCCACCAGCACACGGGATAAAGTAGTTTTCTAAATCTCCATTGAGATATGCAGCGCCTTGTTATGCTTTCTTCCCTCGGGAGGTAAATCAAAATTTGTGAAACCTAGCCCATTACTCGCAGAGATGCTAGCCACGATTCCTTCAAATTGATTCACTGAAATTTCCTGAGGAACAAAAGAAGTCCCCAATAACCTCATCAGCGTATTTCTGTGAGATTCAGAATCTCGGAATAAAGTAAGAATTGAAATCTTCAAAGGCGTCTGGCTCAACTGATTGATTATCTTGTAATCACTCTTCTTTATATATTTCAACTATCAACTCTGCCACATCTTTGGCTATCTCAGCATCAACAGTCAGAACATGAGGATTTTGCCCCGGCTCTGCACCATTAACCATAATCTTCTTGCCTTTACTCTTGGACAAAGCACCATTGCTACTTTTAGGACGATCAGGCGGAGAGAAAATCTGACCACTTCGGGTGATCTTGCTTTCACTAACAATGTCATGAACTTCATGCTTATCTTCCTCAGACTTACTTCCCTCGGGCTTCTCAAAAACATGCTTCTTCCCTTGATAGTAAAATTCACTTCCATATTTCTAAGGAACTTCCTTATCACTAATATACGACACTGGACCAGGTAGAGTGATGATCAGTGGCGACTGCTTGGCTGGAATTGGAATTATGAAACATACATGAATTATTTTGGAGTTGAAGGGAATAGTAATCACGTTCACTTCACCCTTCTCAACCTTAATCTCAACAACCACACGATCAAACTAGAGAGTCCTTTAGTGACCAATCTCTGGATTTCATCTTTAAGACACTCACAACCCTCTGGTTGAATCAAACAATCTTCACAGTCGAGACCACAACCCAAGAACACACTTTTCTTCGACAACTGCTATTTCACAAACAACAGAGGTGTAATCAGCTGGTTTACATCCGTAACCATATACGCAAATAACCGCGTTTCGGAAAAAAATACGCAAATAACCATGTTTCATATGACTCCCCAAAGGAGGAGCCATCTGAAATGGCGCATGCACCTATATTTTTAAGGGAGGCGCCATCTCACTTGGCGCATATGTGCTTAGGGCATGCCCTAAGCCAAGTGAGATGGCGCCTAGGTGTATTTTTAGGGCAAAAAAATATTTATTTATTTTTTTTCCGGTGCATTGCGTGTTGGACAGAGATCAACAAAATGGACTTTTTATTAAAAAAAATAATAATTACATCCAACTGTATTACATTAAAATAACAGTAAAAAAACATATTAAAAAAATGGATACAAAAATACTGGAAAAAAAAAGATACATTAGTGATCCCCCGAAACCCGGTAATGACCCCCGGTTCCGCATCCCCATCCTCGCCTTTCTCGTGCTGGGTGCCGTCGCGTTTCCTGCTGCGGCAAGGTCGATGGCCCAGCAAAGTCAATGCGGTCCGAATCCATAAAATCAGTCAGATCTCCATATCTAGAAGATCCGCTCTGGTACAGTCGGTTACCCATACCCTCAAAGTTTGGTCGTGTTGGCGGTGGGTGGGGTTCCATGGTTGGTCTGTAGCATTGGTCGTCTGAGTACGGGGGGTAGAAAGGAAATGGATCTTGGGGTGTTTGGTATTGAGGATGTTGGGTGGTTTGGTGATATTGTGGGTGATGGTAGGTTGGGTCGGCTTGTTCGTAATCTTCCGACATTCCCATATCAGGGCTAAGGCTGGATGTTGAGGGCGCCATATTGGGATATGTGGAAGACTGAAATTGTGTGTGGGGTATGCGGGTGTGCTGGTATTAAGGTTGGTATTGTGGTTGGGTTTGAGGCATATCAGGGTATTGGTAGTTTGGTGGTGATTGTGGTTGGTTGTGCGGCATTTGATTGTAGTTGTGTTGTGGTGGGGAATGTGGTTGGGTGTTTGTGGGTCTGTTTCTTCTTGGGGGTTGGTGGGAGGTTGATGGGTTTTGGGTTTGTTGATGGGGAATCGAGGGTTGTGCCCATTGTGTGCGTGGGTCAACCAACTACCTTGGATGAGACACGTGCATTTCTGGGTTACTAACCGACCTGTACCACGACAAATATTGGTCTGTGTGTCGCATGTTACCTTGAGTAAGGAAAACCGGGAATTGCAAGACGCAGCGGTGACGCCTTTGCCACATCTTACACCATTCCGGAGCGAAGTCTTTCCAGTTGGTAAGACCCCACTGGGCGTCGACCCTTTTAAGATGCCATGGGGACAAATCTGTTGGATCACTTGGTATCTCTTGATGCATTCCGAACTGCATCTTCACACGGTCGCTGTGGTGCATCTCCATAATGTTGAACCGAATGATTGCAGTCTTCGCAGTCCAAGTTGCTGCATCCTCCGGGTTTGGATCATGGCCCAAACCCAAATATGGTCTCCAGACGAACTGCGATAGAATGTAAATCAGGTTAATGCAAAAGTAATGTATAAATAATTTAGTTGAACAAAAGTTAAAAGTTACGACGTACGTCATCCGGGCTTAAGTGATCCAACAGGTTGCGGTAGAGTGCGACATTGAATCTTGGATTCTTGCCGTAATCCATACCCCTCACGCAGTACC